GGTCTAGGCCCGAAACGTCAGCCTTCCTGCTCCTATGATGCTGCTTGGCCTGCTGTGTTCATCCAGCTCTACACCTTGTTATCTCAGATTTTCCAGCATCAGCAGTTCCTACTATCTCTGATGCAAATTTTATACATTTTTTTCTCTCTCTCTTTCTGTTACACTCTCTCTCTGTCTCACGATTGGTTTCCACATTCTCTTTATACATTTTTCTGATGATACAACTTAGGACAGTAACTCTTTATACAGAAGTATCATTGTAAACTTGTCGCGCAGCATTTCATGGTAGTGCTGCACTTCAACTTCTTCAAGATGCTCAAATTTGTATTAAAGCGGAATTATATTGCAGGTTTTATTACAAAATTTGATTTATCCCATGTTAATTCTTGTACTGAGTTTGGTGAACATAAAATGTGGGGACTCGACACCAAAGTCTTCAGTGTACTTTGGCTGTCACTTAGCATTTGTCACTTAGCATTTGTGTTTTTTTTAATAAGGGCATGTGGTAGCAATTTCTAATGTGTAATTGCTGTTACAATTTTTGAGTAACTGTTTATGGCTATCAAACTAACTGAACTGCAGACTCGAATTTTTCTTTTGTGATTTCCTCTCAATAGCCCCTTTATGGATTGCTTCAAGCAAAATTGCAGCTCATCACACACGCTTATTTTGAGGAGAAAGATTTTTCACAGATTTCCATTCTAAAGGTGAGGATTATTATGATTTTGTATACGGACACCTTATTAATGAATAAGTTTTAAAAGTAGTGCAGTACTTGAGTGTGAGCCTCCTCATTGCTAAACCACTACCAATATGAGTCTATTACCAACCAATCAGTACTGTCCTATCATGCAGTATGAATGGTGGTTTTCCCCTTGAATTGATATTCTTACAAATTGCCCTGATAATTGCAAGACAAAAAGCTTCGACAAAAAGCATCTCTTTCAGCAATACTCATGTTCTGTAGACCAAATAACTTAAAGTTCAGTACGCTTCATGTGCATTTCCCCAACTCATTTCCCAATCCCCTCATCTCACTTCCCTCATGGTCTCTGTCAGCACATCAACAGTCACTGCACCATCCACATTTCCCTGGAGGATATTGGTTCATTGGTTAAAAAGATCCTGTCAGTGACAACCTTTGTCGTGAATGATCACTTGGCTTTGGTGGAAATCGTGTCCTTTACTGAAACCTCTCTGCCATACAGTACCTCCTACTGTCTGTCTGCCACACTGAAAATGTCATTATGATGAATTTGCCTTTTATCATGACTCACTTGGAAATCAAGCCCCACTATTCCCAGAGTCATCACATACAATATTCCCCAATTTGAATGTCCAGTCCAAGTTGATAGAAAGCGCAGATCATGTTTCTGTATTTAACAGGAATTACATTAATAGTAAGTAATTAGACTCTAGCTACAGGTAAACAGTAATAAACTGTTGACATATAACAGGACTAATTAAAACTCTGACCCCTTCATAAATTCCCCCTTGTGCATGCACATGCACATAGACAGTCAGGGAAAAATAGGTTATGGACAGAGAAAAACTGGGAGCCAGTTCAATGGTTCCTGTTGATGGGTTGCTGAGATTATGCTTATGATTCTTATAAAGGTCAGAGCATTGCTTTTCAGTCATCTTTTTTTCAGGTACCTCCACTGGATTGCAAGAGACAGAAGGTGGCTGGTTCACTTGTAAAAGTCCATGACTTACCAATTAAAAGTCACAGCTTACAATAGCTGCTGAAGGAAAGATGAACTTGTGCCTTCAGGTTTAAAATGTGTTTTAACTGCAGAGATCTGAGAGACAGCTCCTGTGCTGATGGAGATCAAAACACTTGTCGCTGTCTCATTCGTCATCGATAACTGGTACAAATCCATAAACTAATCAACTTCTTATTGCCACCCAGGTGATCTGGTAGCACCATTTTGAACACTACCATGTCTCCTTTTCCTCTGTGACAATTGCTCATTCTTCTGGAGTAAATGAGGGCCAAAAAAAGGCCTAGTGCTTTTTTCCTTTACTAACCAATTGTTCAAATCCATGTCAAAAACAGAAGTTGCTGGAAAAGCTCAGCAGCATCTGTGAGGAAAAATCAGAGTTAACGTTTCGGGTCCGATGACCCTTACTCAGAACCTTCCTCACTGAACCCGAAACATTAATTCTTATTTTTCTTCACAGATGCTGCCGGACCTGCTGACTTTTCCAGCAACCTCTGTTTATGTTCCTGATTTACCACATCCACAGTTCTTTCGGTTTTTATTTTGTTAAATCTGTGTGCCTTTCCTCCTCCAGCCTTAACTTCATCAAAAAGTAGAAGATATGTTTGTGTCTAGTTTTGAAACAATTTATACAGCTGCCTCCCTTTGTCTCCCAGCTCTCACAGGCTCCTTCCTGCTTTTGTCCTATTTCTTCACCCTTCCTCCCTCCATACTGCCTTCTCCAAGCTTATCTTAATCATTAGACACAACTCATACTCCCTTAGTGCCCTTCCTTTTAGCCAGTGACTACCAAACTTTCCTTTCTGAAATGTTGTTAGTGTAAATTACTCCCTTTCCTCAAGTACTATCTGTCACCATTTCAGAACTTTCTTCCTCTTTAGAAAAAGTACTCTTGACCCTACCCAAGAACTGTAATTGAAAACTGCAGTTCCATCTCCACATTTTCTTTCCTTAGCCCTGCCTGATCCCTGCTGAATGTTATGTCACTTCCAATACCTCTGTTTGATCTTCCTGGCAACTTCATGATTGATGGATACTGCTGATACATGAAGATTAACAATGATGACTGTACACTTATCCAATGAATAGTCTCTCCATTTTCAATCTTCAAAGAAAAAAGAATGGTTGCTTTTTTCCTTTCTTTGAAATTGTACTTCTGAGCTCTTCTATTCTGTCTTTACCTTGTATGCTTCTACTTCTACACTTTTTCCCCTGCGTTCCAAATTCAGTGTCCAGTTTGTTGACCAATAATTTTTGAATTTCTTGTTTCTTAGTTTTTCATCTCAATCCTACCTCCAACTGTCCAGCCATCTTTTTCAGTTTATCAATGGACAATACCTTTAAAGTATTAAAATGTATCCTACTCTGCTGTAAAAGTTTTTGCGCCTCTAAAGACATTTCGGCTAGTATAATTTATTCCAGTGCACCAATTCCATTCTAGTACCCTCTCCTCCAGCAGTCGTAGCAAAGTTTTAAGTTTGACTAAAGTAGTAGTATGGCTAATAGTATAGGTTTTAGATTATCTCTGCTTTCGTATTCGAAATAATTTGGTCAGGTTTCTTTAGTCAACAACTAAGAACAAACAAAACGTATTGAAGCAAAGATTAGTGACAAAAACAAAGTTTAGACTGTGCCAAAGGAAGTATGACTTATTCTAACTTAACATGGGCAACAGATAAACGATGTCCAAAAACCAACAAAAGCACCCCACATCAAACAGCAACCATGATTGAGATATACCCCTTAGATTTCTTCCACATTCACTGCCCACACAGAAACCAAACATTGGTGACACCAAAGCTCATTACACTTCACAAAGGATTACAATTCTTCACATTTTGGCTGACCTGGCCCTAAAGCTCCCTCAAATACCACTCTTGTCATGGACTACCTCAATGACTGTTCACTTTCCATTTCTGGGACTGTGCCCTTCTGAATCCTGGAAAACTGAACTCTAAGATAGTAGGAACTGCAGATGCTGGAGAATCTGAGATAACAAGCTGTAGAGCTGGATGAACACAGCAGGCCAAGCAGCATCAGAGGAGCAGGAAATGAAGAAATTTCTGAAGAAGGGTCTAGGCCCGAAACGTCAGCTTTCCTGCTCCTCTGATGCTGCTTGACCTGCTGTGCTCATCCAGTTCTACACCTTGTTATCTTAAACTGAGCTCTAACACTTCTTCACAGGTACTGTGCTATCTTTTCACAAACAACAAGTTTCATCACAGCCACAGTATTGTCCTGAATTTGTTTCCTAGGCTGTAATCTGACCCAAGTACACAAAGCAAATAATTTTTGTGGGATTCCTTCACCTTTGGTCACACCACACTGAACTACTATTGTCACGTCGTTTCATCTGAGCCCCTACGTCTCCTTGGACATTTCTGGAGCCCATTTTTCTGAGCTGCATACTAAATCCTAAAACTACTTCTGACCACACAAACCATCCAACTGGTTTTAACTTCTCACTGAATCTCTGACTGTTCAAATTTCATGTATTTCAGTTAACTGTTTAGCAATCCAGCTAAGCAGTTATTTTCTGCACAGGGCTCATTTCTGCCACTGCCTGTCATCAACTAACTGCATGTCAACAACCACTGAACCGTTTTAAGTAACCTGTTGAAAACTTGCAATATACCCAATCCTTGTTCTTAGGTGGTATCGAATGTAACTAATGTTTTGGAACTGTCTGTCCACTGAACGTTGCAGTGGTAACTGACTGCAGTTCAAGTTGGTGCAACACAAAGGAATTCATCACACAGTATCAAAAAGTCATAATATTGGTGCTCAGAATGTCTTGTCAAAGTAATTGTATGTGTGATTTTGCTTTTTCTCCATAGCTTGTCTCCTAAGTTTGAAGGAGTGCCTTTTTAGTAACAAAAATGATATTTCTTTCTTTGATTTTGCTTCTTTACATATGCAAACTTTATCATAAAGCTGAATTCCTTAATGTTTTGTAGATATTTGAAGTACAGGCATAGTGATTTTATCACTAGGCTGTTAATCCAGAGACCCGGGAAATGTTTTGGGGACCCAAATTCAAATGCTGCCATGGTAGATGGTGGAATTTGCATTCAATAACAAATAATCTGAAATTAATAGTCTAATGATGACTACGAAACTGTTGTTGCTTGTTAGAAAACGTTCTGGTTCACTAATGTCCTTTAAGGCAGGAAACTACTGTCCTTACCTGGTCTGGCTTACATGTGACTCCAGACCCACAGCAAAGTGACTCTTAACTGCCCTCAGGGCAATTACGGATGGTCAAAAAATGCTGACCTGTTGAGTGAAGTTCATGTCCTGTCAATGAATAATAAAAAAAATTTGAAAGTGCAGTTATATACGCAAGATTGGACAGGTACTTATTATCAGATTTACTGACCTGTTAAGAAAGGATTTTCCTGCATGTGCTCATATTTCAAACATATATACAATACTTACAATGTTTTAGATCCGTAAATTTGTATTTGATCTTATTGGAGCATTTAATGTAGGTCTTGGTGGTTAAATGTTTTTATATGTTTACTTTTCTAAAATGATTAAACTAGGAACTTTATGAACACATGAATAGCTCTTTAGGAGGAAATGCATTAGAAGGCTCCCAGGCTTGCTTAGGTAAGTGAATTAAAGTTGTATCATTTGCATTTGAATAAATAAGATTCAAATCAGGATTTGGTCTATGTATTTTGCCTCCAACACAACAATAGTTTTATCCTTTTCAAAAGACAAAATATAGGGTTGTTCCAAGTAGTTTCAGTATTGTTCACTAAGATGGTTTTGTGTGGTTGTTAGTGAACTATTTAAACTAATTGAGAATCAGTTTTTTTTTAAACTGGACAGTTATGAGCAGTAAGCAATTAGTAACCATCACCCATTTAAACGTTAGCCAGTCAACTCATTTCAACCATTTACTTCCGCCATTCATATAGCAGAAAATTAAGTGCATTGTTAATTGTTCAAATTCTGAGTACTCATGCTGTTTCCTTACATGTGCAGCTCCATCTATGTTAATATTGGCAGGAGTGACTAACATACAATGAATGTGGAGACCAAGACTCATCTCCTGTGTATGTATGAATGTTGTTTCTTCGTGCCCAGTAGAAGTAAATTACCCAGAATGTACTAACACATCCCTACCATGTGACAAGGTAGAAAAGTGACCAAACTGTGAAAACACTGACATTGACATTGGATTAAAGATGAGACTTTTCAAGGACTTTGTTGGTCAACTCATTCCAGTATATTCATGGAAAGATGTCTGTAAATTGTACAAAACAATATTAAACAGGTTCATCTATTTGGTTCCTTCAGCATCATATGCAGGCCTAGTCTGGCAGGTGTACCTTTAGCACGTGGCCAGCTCAGCCATTAATGGTACGACGGAGCTGGTCTTGTTGGCAGGCATTGAAGCCCCCACTCCAAGTACATTTTTTGTCCTTTCTTTTCTCATTCCGTCCGTAACTAGTGCATACCATGGAGTAATTAAGCAGTTAAACAGGAGCTGTACATGGTAATTAGGGGCCTTCAATGATCTTGTTTGACCTGAAGCCAAAGTGCAATTTATTTTTCTTTTTACTGTATCTGTAAGTTTAAAATTCATCTTACTTATATTTATTTGCATGTACTACAGCCACCGTGATTGAGACCAGGTTTGCAGTGTTGTAAATACTGTCAATTACTTTGAGAGGTCTCGAACTTCCTCTCATTTAGCTTTTCTATTAGATAACCTGATGTGGTGTAATTGGCCACATTAGTGAATAATCTTGTAAATATGATCATCATTGTTTCTGAGAGTACAGAAATAATTAACTAAATTATGATGAGTGTGTGCAGATTTCCCATAGCTGAAACTGTGCTGTTAAATTGCTGTGTGCATGAGCGTCAGGTTATGCCACATGAAATAGTAGTAACTGCTGATGCTGGAGAATCTGAGATAACAAGGTGTAGAGCTGGATAAACACAGCAGGCCAAGCAGCATCAGAGGAGCAGGAAGGCTGCTCCTTCAGAAAGAAGGGTCTAGGCCCGAAACGTCAGCTTTCCTGCTCCTCTGATGCTGCTTGGCCTGCTGTGTTCATCCAGCTCTACACCTTGTTATCTCGGGTTATACCACGTAATTCTTTGAGTAAAAAACAATTTACAGGATGGAGAATAGCTTTGCTGCTGCTACACTTGATAACATTTGAGTGCAAATAACAGAGTAGTGCATATTGGACTTTATTAATTACTTAATTAATTACGTTTCTTATGACCTCAACTTTGGTTTTTCCCAGAAGTGGAACTGTGCCTTTCTTATCTGAACTGCCTAGCTCATTCATAGTTTTAAATAACTTGTCAGGTTTCTTCTAAACTTCACTGAAGAAAATAGCCCTAGTCTGCACTATTGTGAGGTCAGTCTTTTTCATAGAAAGAATGAAGAGAAGTTATATAAATCAATTGATAAAATTCAAAAAGGGATACAGAATAGAGACCTAAATGTTTAGGAGCAGGACAAGTTGAGAAGATCATTTAAAAATAAACAAATAAGATCCTTGGTTTTATAAACAGAGGCATAGAATGCAAAATCTAGGATATTACGGTAAAATTTTATAAATCACTGTCCAGCTTCAGCTTCAGTATTATGTTTAATACTGGGTACCACACTTTCAAAGGTTTGAAGGCTAATGCTAGAACTAAGAGATAATTTTACAGCTGTTGGAAAATATTGAACAAGTTGGAGGTTTTTTCTTGACAGAGGTAACTTAAAGAAAATCTGCTTCAACTGTTAAAAATTTGATTGGGTTAGAGAGATGTGGAGGGAATGTTTTCATTTCATTCATGGGAAAATTAATTACAAATAAAAGACAACAAAAATAAATTTCTTTAATCAGTGGTTAGATTATGGAGCTTGCTATAAAAGAACTGGTGAGTCAAATAGCTTAAATGGTTATAAAAGGAAAATTCGTAAGTGCATGAGAGAGAGAGGAAATCAAAGATATGCTGAAATGAGATCGACCGAATTGGAGGAGATTTATGTAATGTGTAAATGTCAGTACAGACCACTTGGGCTGAGCCACCTATTTCTGTGCTATTTATTCTGTGTATTGTAATTTTATTGAAAGTCTTAAGGAGGATGCAAAGGAAATTTACAACAATGGAACCAATGGTGTAGGGCTCAAAAGGAAGATGAGGAATAGAAGTTGCTTTGAAAGCTCAGCAGGTCTGGCAGCAACTGTGAGGAAAAAAATCAGAGTTAACGTTTCGGGTCCGGTGACCCTTCCTCAGAACCAAAGAAGGGTTACGTGACCAGAAACATTAACTCTGATTTTTTCTTCACAGATGCTGCCAGATCTGCCGAGCTTTTCCAGCAACTTCTGTTTTTGTTCCTGATTTACAGCATCCGCAGTTCTGTCGGTTTTTATAAAGGAAGATGAGGATTTTGTTTTACGTGGTATTATTGTGATACGGCATTCAATGCCTGAAAGATGGGTCGAAGCTGATTAAAGTTGAATAAACGTTCAAAAGAGAAAAAAAAATTGCTTAATGGGAAAAGGACAAGGGAGTGGAACGAGCAGGATATCTCTTTCAAAAAGCCTGCAGAGCACAATGGACTGAATACCGTCCTTCTGTGGAATATTATTCTGTGATTCTTCAACAAGTCTAGTATCCATTGAAGAAGACAGATGGCAAGGTTCCTACTTGTCAAAGGAGTAGGAAAATGTATTAGTGAGTTTGGTACTTGTTAATTTTTATCGCAGTTATGCTATTATTTAGGAAGAATTAACAGTTGTATTATAATTTCTTAGAAATTGGGAATTTGTTTTTAGGTCTGTCTCCACGGGACCTGGTTCTCCATTTCAAGCATAAGGTACAGTAATCAATAACAACAATTTCTCCCCTGACTTATTTTGCTTTTGTTTTACTCTTGAAACGCTTTTAATCTTGACATAAAAGAAAAAGTAACAATAGCTAGATGTTTTAGATGTTTGAGTTATAAAATGGCATTAATTCTGAATTTCTTTTGTGTTCCAAAATGTATGTTCCTACTTTTGGACATTATCTATGAACTATTAACAATTACTTTTAAGACATTCTGATGTAGTATTCTAAATACCAGACGTCTCCGAGTCTCTCACTTTTCTGCACAGAATCTCCATTTTCTTACTTGCGATATTGACTTCAGACTGTCACCTTGGGAATATATATCCTAATGCTTAAATCCCAACCCCTACATGCTCCTGCTTTGGTACAATCCTTCTTAGTCCTATGTCCCAGCATTCTCCACCTCCTTGTCCTAAGCTTCCTCATGGTCTCCTTCACTCTTATGGTTGCACCAGCTTTAGCTTTCAAGGATTTGTAGTTAAGAATTCTTAAGCCTAAGCCTAAGTCTAAACCTAAATCCTTCCACATTACTGCCTCAGAAAATTTCTCAAAGCCTACCATTTATATTCAGTTTTCAGCTGCCTTCCCTAATTATTTTTTCTCTCTCAATATATTTATAAATATATGCATGTGTCTTAATCTGTGGCGCTCTCTGTCTGTCTCTCTCTCTCTCTCCCTCCCCCCCCCCCCCCACTCCACACCCCCTTAGATTCCTCAAACTACTCCAATACTTTGCTCAAAGTAAAAGTACACAATGATGCTAAAGATAGCGAGATTTGATTATTATTGGTTCTTCAGTCAAGCAAAAATTTCTACATCAGATGCCTGGCTAATAAAAGCCAAACGTACATTTCCACATTAAAAGTTGCTAATTGATCACAATTAATCTGCAGAAGAGAATCTGGACAGTATTTGTAACCTTTTATCTTCCCTAAACTTGTCATGAAAAGCAAATTTGATGACTAAAATGTGCATCTGTGATTTTTGAAATATTAATTGTTCCAAAAGGACAAATCCCCTAATTCCACCCTTTTTCACTGTTGTCTAGCTGAGTGAGGATACCCATCTCTGGTGCTACTTTTGCCTATTCATTATTAGCTAGTGGATTTTATTTCACTCCTACATTGTTACCATTGGACCCCCACGAGGATGTCTAACTAACAGTCTTAAATGAGTGGAAGCTTTCAATTAAACATTAGGGACTTGGATGAAGGGACCATATGTATGGTAGTTAAATTTGCAGATGGCGCAAAGATGGTTAGGAAAGCAACTTATCAAGAGGACATAAACAGTCTACAAAGAGATTTAGATACTGTAGGTTAAGTGAGCACCATGGCCGCAGGAGAAAGATAAAAGCAGTACAGGTTGTATCTCCCTAACCTGACACCCTCTGGTCTGGCAGCCTCTATGTTCTGCAAAAGATGATGTCTGTATACATGATACAAGAGAAACTCATGAAAACAAAGCCAAAATATGTTAGACAAACCATGCTGCAAAATTTGCATAAGAAAACAGACAAGGAAGAGTGGTCACCAGCTTTCTACAAGTGCCTGCATAAATACACTACTCCACAGCTGAATAGTAAATCGAAGGCCACCATCAGAAGTTCACAGAGGGGAATGCCTTTACATGAGTCAGTATCATTAGGATGATAGAAGAAGAATGGGAGCAGAGAAAGGAAAGGTTTTACAAGCTCCCTTGATTGCGAACTCTGACAGGTGACCTCATATGATTCAGCAAATTCTCCTGCCTGGTAAAGGCCCAGTCCAAAGGGTGCTGGATTATGAAGCTACAACCTAATGGAAACAGACTGCAGAACTGAATGGCACAGAGGAACCTGGATGTGCAGGTGCATGAATGACAAAAGATTGGTATGCAGGTGCAGGAGGTGAACAGGAAAGAAAATGTAACGTTGCTATAGAACGTATCTAAACTCCACCACTACCTTATACTATCATCCATACGCCTATCTAATAGCCGCTTAAATGCCCCTAATGAGGCCGACTCCACTACCCTCTCCGGCAATGCATTCCACGCCCCTACCACTCTCTGAGTAAAGAACCTACCTCTGACGTCTCCCCGATATCTACCTCCTTTCACTTTAAAACTATGTCCCCTCGTAGAAGCTACCTCCACCCTAGGAAAAAGTCTCTGGCTGTCTACTCTATCTATACCTCTGATCATTTTGTACCCCTCTATCAAGTCACCTCTCATCCTTCATCGTTCTAAAGAGAAAAGCCCTAGCTCTCTCAACCTTTCCTCGTAAGACCTTCCCTCCATTCCAGGCAACATCCTGGTAGATCTCTTCTGCACCTTTTCTAACGCTTCCACATCTTTCCTGTAA